AGCACAAGACCGCTTGTTGTGGAGAGCCTTGAGGAAGGCCTATTTCCAGCAGTGTACGAGTACGTCTTTCGGCTGAGATGATGATGTGCAGATCACATAAAAGGGCTAATTGGAATGAGAGTTAAATACATCACATCGCATCAACAGTCTTTAATAGTCCTTTTTATAAGAGTTGAAAAATAAGATTTTTTACTAAATAGACTCAAAAATTGATTGTTTAATAAGTTAATGAAACAAAAAAAAATACTAAAAATAGAAGTTCATAACAATTTCTTCATAAATGAGTTCCCAAAATAAAAACTTGCACCACAAAGCTCAGTTACGTAATTTTGCTGTCTTGTTTTTTTTGTTGTTTGAAAACTCAAAATATGAGTGAAGACTTCTTGATTGAATAATTCGTACTTTTTACTGTTTCATTTATTTTTACCTCACTTTATTTTAATTAATCTACAATTACTTTGCAGACTTCACTTTTGTTTTTCCGTGGGAGAGTCTTTGGCATAAATTGTCCAGCTTGACCGAAGCGACACCAGGGTTTCACAGACAACCGGCGATAAGCAATTCTTTCTTTGCTTTCACCATGTGAGTGAGGTTACGCGATAAAACACTCCTCTCCCCCTGATTTTAGGGAGGGGGAAGGACTCAATGGGTGGCGGCGTACTTCTGACTCTTGATTAGCTTGTCCATGGGCAGCGGCAGTCATTTATCAGCAGTTGACCCCTCTGCTCGTTTTTTACATCACAGAAAACGTATTCTTGGCCATAACAGAAACCGATCTCAAAAAAAAATCACTAAAAACAGATCAGGAAAATGATCATGATTGTGTTTTTTTTTATGGCAGAGGGGGCAAACGAACAGGTCAACTCTAGAGTCACAAGTGCGATGCCAGCCTTTGATGAAAGAGTACGCTATTTTCTTAAAGGTTTAAATACCGCAGACGTTAACTTGTTCTACAGATTGGTTGTGCGAAGCAAAAAGTGTTTTGAACAGCGCACAGTGGTGGAGTGTCAATTATCCAAGTGATTAGGATGAACATTTTGTGTGTAATAAACATTAAAGGAATATTACTGCACACTGCAATGCACCTCTTAGGTTTGTTTAGGCGTTGCTTCCCAGAGTAAGTGTTAGGAAACACCGGCTCCTTCTAGCTGTAAAGTCCGACTTGTAAAAAAACCTAAAAAAATTACTTACAGAAATAAATATCATTACCGCACGCGCGGCGTGGTGATTTACTATGCTGAGTATTGTGGATTCGATCCACACATGGGACGACACTTTGTGTGATCCACATATTGGTGTTCTTTGTGTCCGTTACATATATGTTTATAAAATCCCCCACGACACAGGATATATTCATAATGTTGTCTTTTCTATAAAAAGTTGTTCCTAGAGTTGTCTTTTCTATAAAATTATGTTGCAAATATAAAAATTTGTTATAGTGATCCAGTCGAATCGGCTACACTTCGTATCATCTTAGGGGCTTTTTCACTCAAACCGCACGGGACTCGTTTCATTCGCGGTTGTTTTGCAAAAATATGAAGCGATTAAAGTAAATTTACTGCAAAGGTTGAATAGTAAAACGTTTGCTTGTAGTGAACGTTTGTTGATGTTAACCGTTAAGTTCACTTTTATTTTCGCTCCTTATTTTTACAATAACTGTTCAGAATGTTTAAGTTTTTGTCTTTGTTGTAATTATTACAGTGAACCTCTGTGTTAATTATATTTCCATAAATACAACAATGTCATTGTTAATTTCTACGTGGACTGGAAAAGCGCCAAAATTTCTACTCTGTTTACGAATAATGTTATGAATTCACAACTTCATTACGTTTCTATATCAAATCATTACCGATATATTTTTGGCAAGCACAACCAATCTGTGGAACGGGTTATCGTCTGCGGTATTTCCAGACCGATACGACCTTCAAACCTTCAAGAAAAGAGCGTACTACTTCCTAAAAGACCTCCTGGACTCCTGAGTTGCAGACGTTCACGGGCGGCGATGGTCACTTTCCATCACCCGTCTGCTCGTCTGCCCTCTCTAACATAAAAAAAAGATAAAAGTTGTTGTCGGTCGTCTTCGTTAGAGAAAATGTTGGAAGAAAAATTTCTTGGTGTTATAATCATTTTTTATCATTGTCCGTTAGTTGTATTATTCATCTTGTGATAGTTGAGTTTAACGTCTAGCTATTAGATATCCCTATTTTAGAGGCCATTATTATGATCCTAGTAACCACTTAACTGATCCTCATAACTTTTATTCCGAACACAGTACTGGTAAAACCCTCTTTACCAGTACTTTGGGACCCGAATTGATTGTCAAAGTGAACATTAATTCAAAAGAGTCGCGAAAATTTTCCGAAACATTTTATAGTATTAACTTTTAAAATTTGCCTCCCAAGATCAAATATTACTAATGATCAGGAATGTAGGCGATTAATAAATTAAAAATACCTTTAAATCACCTAAAGTCACAGGCATAACAATAATACAATAATAATATGATGTAATGTGATACGCATAAATAGCCGTTTATTAATTCCCGTTTGTTAGTACGAGTAATAAAAAAATATTGTTGTGATTTCTACTGCTGCAGTTATCAAATATAGATATTACAAAATATTTTGTCTCAACTTGAATATTTATAAGTATTGATACAGCTAGCAATAAGAAAATATTAATATTTTACTTGATGGAGATTTAGGAATCAAAGTAATAACAGTTTGATTACATAAACTTCGGAATGGTATCGTACAAGATTTTGCTCAACCAAAAATATAAACCATATACCATTTGCCAACTCATCTCGTTGGTATTACAAGTGTAATAGGATTACTTGCAATATCTGCCTTTATCAGAACTCTTTAAGAAAACACAAATCATACAAAATTGTCCAACAACGGCTGTCATCCGGAGATTACAATTTATAATTGGCCAAGTTTTTGGTCTGGGTAAGGATCAGGGGCTAATTGGCTTGCTCTGATGACGGGCTTCAAATGGGAATCATGATTCAAGAATTACACTTACAAACTCTCTCTACGATAATACTGGCGGATGTAAAGTTTGGAAGTTTTTGGATGGTACAAGTAAAAAGATGAAAGCTTTGATAATGCTTATTGATAAAAATTTTAGATTGGAGGATTAGGTAGTTCAATTGACTTTGTTAATTTATATTCGTTTAAATAAACTAACAATGGATATTAATATTTTAATAAAAAAACTATTCCAAGCACTTGTTTAAAAAAACAAACTTCTAAAAAAATTTACAATACCTCAGTCTACGAATGATGATGCGATCAGCGTTTCTCAATTACGGTAAAATGAAATAAGAAAATTAAAAGTTTGTAACTTGATCCAGGGATTATATTACAGTTAAATTTGAGACATTTGGAAAGTAACAACGATTTCAAAAGACCATAGAAGATTCGCGATGTTGGAGAATATCGTTAAATGCTTATTGTGGGTTTTATTGTCAGGATCCGAGAGCAACGGCAGAGTCGAGACTATAATATATTTTCCTCAAAACACATCATTCACATTTCTTTATGATTTAAAAGGATGTTACATATAAGTAAGTATTATTTAATAATTTTGTAATATTTAGTTTATTTTTTTATGTTTCCATGCGTAAAGTAAATAGGAATATTAATACTAGTAAATCACAAAGTTTATTTTCCTTTACTCTTATAATTGACCTATTCTTTGAGACTTTATGCACTTGTGTACATCGGCGGACTTCATGCCCTGGGCATTCCTTACCAACCAACCTTTAGGTGGTGTATAAATCGTGTAAGATTAAGATTAATCATTTTTTTTAAAGTTGTCTTGTAGTGCTGTCTCTTTGTAACAGTTTTGTAGTAATGTGTATTTAATATAAATTGTATTATAATCTTGTGATACGATACTACTCGTATATTGAATATGAAATAAAATTTGAAAGTGTTTAAAAAATCTGTTACACACGAAAATAATAAAAAGAAAATACTTTTAGGAAATTCTATTATATTTTATAAAATAATTATGAATATTTATGGTAATTATGACACTTAATATTTACAATACAAAGCTATTTGATTATAACTACGAGATCTTGACTTCACACAACAAAAATATTTTACGTAACAAGGTGGCCACTAAACTTTATGAAGATACATGTATAATACTGATGGCTGCAGAGTAAGCTTTGTAATGGCCATTAAATCCTTGTACTGTATATCAATATGAGGAAAATAATACATTGTGGTATTTATTTTTAAATGCTTAGACTTAAAAATATTAGCCGACTGGGACTCCGCCCAACACACGCTAGAAGACTGCACCGCGTGAGCATCTGAACTCGAAGTCCTGCTTGACCAAATTGGACGAGACCTGTCCCCGTCAGCAATTATTACGGCTATAAGGTATCTTTCTGTAAAGCTGTAATGCTCCATAAAGAGACCGGTGAATGGGATCAGGAGAAGGCCAATCGAGAGTGTTTAGAGGACCAGCCAGAATACCAGCCGTCGACGGGGCCGCAGGTTGCCAGAGAGTGGGGACATCTTGTCGCAAAAATGTAATCGGGCAGCAACATAATTATAATGATTGGGCCGATACCCAGTGGCTTAGGTTAGGCCTTTACTAGGCGCAGCGTCACATCATCATCTGGGGGACCTGAAATAACATGGTTCAGGTCCTCCGCAGAGTAGGTTCAGTCTGAGACGTCGGGGAGGGTTTTAGTGGAAACACGACATCCCTCACATACCACTTCCTGGGCTATTATATTTCCAACTCCTCCAACTTTATTCTGATTAATTTCGTTGCGGGTTCCAAGACAGTTAATTTTTTTTCAAGGACTTAATGAATGTCAAAGACTTAATGGGAGAAATCAGTCCCAATACTCCTGGCTCCTGCGTCCTCGACGAGCCGGAGAACCGAATGGATTTTCCACCCCGTCAACAAAAAATAAATAAAAATACTTAAAAATATGTAGTACATTATTTGTTTTATACTATAATGTCAGTTCACTCTTTCTTCAACTCAACTCTCTTTACAGTTCCTGTACTCGTTTCAGTATCATTAGATGAACCAGAAGTAGAATGTTCCAGCTTTATAGAATCATTGTTACTTCTATCACTACCCCTTTTACTCTTTGCGTGTCTATTTAAAATGGAAGGTGTTCTCATACTTTTTCTCTGTTTCACTTTAACGGCCTTTTCTGGTGGTTTGTTAATACTTTCAGTGCGATGCTGAAGTTTATTTAAACTTAGATTCGGCTTGATTTGTGCTGTTTTTTCTAAATCACTTACGTCTGGTAACAGCAAGTTGCTAAAACATACAAAGTCTCTTTCATCTTTTATCTTGGAAGGAATATTCCCATGATTAATCTTAACGGGTACAATTTCTAATTTTTTTTCAAAAATTGTTTCAGGCCCTTTTGAATCAAGCATATTTGTTGGCGAGTCAACACCTCCAACTAATTCTTTGATGAGTTCATTTTCAAAATCTTCAAAAGTCTCATCATTATCATCTTCATCGTCGTCATCATCAGAGTAAAATGAAGAAAATGATGTTAGTGATCCTTGCCTTGAATGAAAATCATCGGGCAAGCGTACCCTTGGACCATTTATCGGTATTTCAATCTGACTAGGAGATGGAGTTATAACTATTTTTGGATCTTGTATGGATGGAATGTCACTTGAAGCTATTATTACTCTTGGAACTCTTTCCTTTGGCATCGTGATGGTTGAATCTGTGTGGATAAATTTATTTTTGTTGTTTAAGACATTTTGTTGAATATTATGGTAAGACGACAAGTTGTCTATATTTTCATAATCTTTTGGTACAACATCTTCATTGATTTTCTTAACTTGTGAAACGTCAAAAGAAGATAAAGGCTTAGTACTTGTATAAGCAAGACGCCTTTCCAATGTTGTGGTTCTTGGAGGTGGCTGTGGTGGAACTCGAGGACGATCAGTTTGACTCTCCATAGAATAACCACGAAAGGTTTGTAATGAGTTAGGCTGTAGCGACAATCGTTTTTGTGCTTTCGGCAAGTCAGGTAGTACTTTTGGAAAGTTTCTATTCTTCATGTGCTGCAAGGCCTGTTCAGCAGTCATAGGGTTGCTCGAGTTTTCTTCTCTTGACGTCACGTTAATATCATTTCGAAACGTAACTGGTGGTAAAATATTTGCAATATTTCCATATTCCATTTTTTCTATTAATTTTTCATAGTTAATGTCTGTTACAGGATCAGATGAAGAATGTTTATGAGAAATTATCAAAGGCTTTTGTGTCACTGATAGAGTGATGATATTTGTAAATGTTTCTTCTTCTTTATTATTTTTAATAACGGTCTTAGAGTCGTTCCCATTAAGTTTATTCACGATATTGGAATTGGAATGTATTTGATCGCTGGAATCGCATGATTTCACGATTTTAATTGGGTCTTGGTTTAGTATAGAATTAGTGCGGGCAGCAGGCGTAGCATCAATAGCTACAGACACCTTTTTAGATTTAAGACTTTCCGTGTCTTTACTTTTTATAGAGTCAATAGATTTACTATTTTTTTTAATATCATTAAGTGACCGCTTAGTAGTGCTACTTATAGATGAATGTGAACCAAGAGCCGAGGTTGAAGTAGTTTTTTCTGAAGTTTTAGTTTTACTATGACTTTTAGATGTTAAGCTTTTAGAGTTGACGCTATCGTTCATTTTCAATTCATCTTTTTTTCTCTTTGAGTCTGAAAGTAATTCTTCGGATCTTGTAAACGGTTTAGCTACTGTGATACTTTTTTCGTTCAAATCAGAATTTGACTGTCTAAGAATGCCTGGGGAACATCGATGCATAACTTCATTTGCGATCCAATCCCTTACTTTTGTATGAGCATCCAGTGTACTTGTCGATAAGTGTCTTCTTAATTGAAATCTTTCTCTAAAACCTCCTGAGTCATCTGATTTTGGAGTTTTACAGACTTCAGATTTCTTTTTTTGTTTCTTAGAATTGCTTTTCGATTTATTGAAGCTCATAGACTTGATCACACTGCAGCTATTTTTTAAAGTACGTAAAGCACTTTTATCATCTTTAGAACTTTTTTGACCGATTACGTCTACTTCGCCAATTTCAGCACGTGGTTGACGAGAAATATCTAGTGTCTGTTCCCGAAGTCTAAGTTTACGCTTTTTGAAATATAAAATGGAGCAGATACCAAAATTAACGGCTAAAAACAGGATGCCTAATGAGACTATTAATGTAATGGTTGCACTCGATGTTTTAACCGGCATGTTGAGTTTTGGTTTCACTGTGGTACTTTGTACTGTAGGTGTTTCACTTAATCCTGATGGCATAGAATGCGGCTTATCAATTGACATTATTTCCTTATATATAAAATTAGTATCCGGTCTGTGTATAGGCTGCGAATAAGGCCTCAATCTACCATATGTAGATGATGAATAATGCGATGTTTCTGCTACACGTGGTGCTGATATTCTATGTGTGTCATCTGCAAAAAGATATTAGTCGCATCAGTATTAAAACTTAAATTATTTTTTATTACATTAAAGGTTAGGTCAGTATAATGTATAATGGGTTTTAATCCGTGTGGTGACGGATTAAGAATATGGAATGTCACCACCCCTATTCATCCCGTGGGTGTCGTAAGAGCCGACTAAGGGAGCAAACTAAACAGGACAACAGCACTGCAAAGAGAAGGAAAACTTGACACAAACCCTACACCAACCCGTCTGGCCAGCGTGGTATAGTAGGCCAAAACCTCCTTTCTCAGGAGTAGCCTATGTCCAGCAGTGGACTATTATAGGCGGTTGATGTGATGATGGGTTTATGATATTCGTATGAAATAGCCAATATAAAAAAAAAATGCGCTAGATTAAATCTACAAGTTTTCATATTTCGAAAGAAATATTTACCTGATGGATTATAAGTGTTCCTGTGGACTGATTTGGCTACCACCTGCTTTGGTCGCTGTGTGGTCTGTACTTTACGCGTGTATTCAAATAATGGATCTACTATAAATTCACTCATCTTTTTGGGCAATATGTCTCCCCAGAACTTAGTGAAGTTTGACCTATATGCTGCTTCTTGTCCCGGTGGGATATCTATAATAATAAAATAAACACAATCTTTCCAAATAATGAAAAAATACTTTAACATAATCTTTACGGCATTACAAAAGGGTAAGAAAGAACATATATATATATTTATATGGTATAATCGTTATAAGCCAATCTTTTAACTGGGCCGCTCAAGAATCATTAGTTAAGTTGTTCCATTACTTATCTCTTGATTTTATTAGTAAATCATCAAAATAAATACAAAACATGCATTGCAAATTTAGACAGAAATTGCCTCCTTCCTAAAAGCCGGCAACGCGTTTGTGACTCCTGAGTTGCAGACGTTCATGGGCGGCGATGGTCACTTTCCATCAGGTGACCCGTGTGCTCGTCTGCCCCCTCTGACATAAAAAAAACTCTATAGCTATGTACATACGCGGACACATCCATATCTTAAAGCTATAATGAATAAGCTACGTATATTTGAATGCCATGTATCTTTTGTATTATTTCGTAATTTTTCTAGATGAGTTATGTGAAAATTGAAGTTTAAAGAAATAAGGTGTATAATATTTAATAATATTAGTTATGTATTGTATAAATTATTAACTATCAGAAAAATCCGACACTAAATTATCTTACCGAATCTCAAATATGTTTGATGTTTGGAATCATATTCAGGCCAATAAAGATTGTAGAGACTCCATTGTCTTTTATCCAGGTTGAAGAATTTCACAGGTGATTGTATGTTTGGAGACCTGTGGGACGCATAGAAAGCATATTTCATTACTATGTACAGTCATTCCTTATGATCACATTAAATATAATAAATTATGATTACATGAAAACTTGAATTCACATACATTTAACTTTTGATGTAAGCAACGATGTGATGACATTTTTGTCACCTATTTTCCGTAGTTAAATATACAATTGTAACTTTAATATTATAGATACTGCTTTATTGCTAAAGATCGTACTTAGAGTAAATATAAATCTTAATCTAAAAAAATATTTTCTCTTTCTATGTAGTCGATCTGTGGTCACCATCAGGATTTCATCAATATATACAAATTCTATCTAACTCTAAAATAATTATTGGAAACTCACTTTTTTTACAGATCAGCTCGTTTATAAACAAACAAAAATATACACATTTCGTTTAGTATGGTCGATCCGATGTATGACCATTATATTCGAGTCCCGCCGTAGCTTCGTAATCAATATTTCTGTTAGGATTGTGACGTAGTATTCTATTTCCTTCTACAACTACTTGAACTAAAATCTCTTTTGAAAATGAGAAGGATACTACCGAATACAACGCAATGACAAATTTTATAAAAGAATTGTTTGCGATTATAATGACGGTGACGTCATTACAGGCAAATTGGAAACAAATCTGGCAAATTGGCCTAAACCCATTTATATAACGTAGCATACAAGCATACCAAACTGAGCCCGAAATTGTAGCAATAGCTGAAATCCTACCACCGTGTGACACAGCGTAACGAAATAGGTTCAGATAACAAGATTACGCTATATTTTTACTAGAACGTTCCCTTGTTTATATAAATGTTTTGTTACAGTTCGCTATACTGCCGTGTTTATTTTTGGTAAACTTATATTTACGTTACTGAATACAAACGGTTCGAATTTTAGCGAATGAGGAAAACAAGTTACATGTACTTATTTTACGGTATCCATATAATACACACATTAGAATTTAAAGATATGCTACTGAGATATTCATCACCAAGCGTGCATATCTCACCCTTTTTTTAGGTTAATTAAAGAGAGGAAGAGATTTTCAGTGTTTCTGCTATGTTTATTATCGTATCACTAAAAAATAAAACCGAAAACCTGAACCGCAAAGTATTCAAACTCATGAATGGAATACGAGGCTGGAAAAAAAAAGTAGGACACTTGATGTTAGCTCTTGACTTTGAGTACCTGTAACTATGGACCTTGTTTATGGTTTTATGACCTCTATGTTTTATGTACTCAAAAATCTCTATGTATACATAGACAATTATTAACATAGAATAACATCAAACACGATAATATATTTGAAAATAGAACTGCAAATCTCAATTGGTGAGATACTTCTTGGCATTTTGGCCAACCGTGTTGGCTTTATTAACAAATGTGCTTATCTTAAAACTTTCCGGAGATCCTACAAATCACAATGGACACAACTCAAAGTTACCGAGTTCTAGTCTACATAGGTTAAAACTGTTTTCTTTGTTGAACTGAGTTTAAGCAGAAGTTTCGTTGTAAATCATCTCTTTTAGGATCGCATCCAATTTTGATTACTTACAAATGATTTTATAGATTAGTACAGAGATGCAAGATATTATAGTAACTATATATATACCTAGTAGTTAGGAATTCTATTAACTTTACCCATTTTTGACAAAGTTGGACCACATCTTCATAACGACTTCACTAAGAAGTTTTTCTTGTTGTGTGTAGTCGACACTAAAATGTGTGTTTGTAAGACCAAGTGGAACCCCGAAAACATATGGCAGTTCTTCTCCTTGGACGCTTTTATTGAGCTGAAATGATAATAACATTATAGTAATGGTACTACTGTATAATATATTTAATGAGTATTGGTACTTCTGAAATTTTTCATTCTAATATTATTTAGAATAGAAAAGAACAGAATATGGTTTATTGTACACCAATTACAGTAAGTTGGTTAAATATTACAGATGGATATGTATAATGGGCGGCCTTATTGCTAATAGCAATCTCTTACGGCAACCTTTGGATGGAAAATTCGACAATAGATAAGAAGAAACAGTGGGTAGTCTAGGTGTATAGAAGCTAACATAATGTAAAAATAAATAATTATATAATTATACATACAAATACATATATATATATACAATATAAGTATAAACAATTTATATTGATAACCATAAAAACATTAGTTATGTACAGTTATTGGAAGCAAAGGGTACTAAGAACTCAAGTAATGAACTTTATTCAGTTGATGAATGAATCTGGACCAAAATATATCTTAATCCTGTATCTTGACAAATGGAATAATATTCTTTTGCATTCATAGCGGAATAATAACTGAAAAAAATGACTTCAAAGTATTTAAAAAGACATTGTACAAACACAGACGCTGTGACAAATTTGAAACCCATTAAATTCACCATCATCATTATTTTCGACACTTGTTCCGGTGGACTGAAAACTTAAAAAAAAGGTGGCTCAATAGTTTTTTACATTCCATTGTTCAAACACTAGAACAAAAGGCATTCGCGATACGTTTTACTGGTCTAGTGTTGCGAACTGAAATGCGAAAGTCGATTTGACATCAGGAAATACATTTCGTTCGTGAAATCTTTCCATTTGCTTAAAATGCACATTCTATTTGAATTTTATTCAGAAAAATTTGTTTGAAAATTTATTACTTCGTTCAGTGGGATAGTTTTGATGTCAGATATGATTTGATTAAATGTGTTTCAAAGTGCTCGTCTTGGAGACGAGACGTAAGGTGACCCGACGTTTAGCATAAGCGACTGACACAATACGCTGATTTATTCATGAAGTGATTTAAAAATTTAATTAAAATAAAAGTGCACTAGTTCAGAAGGTGTAATAAATAACGAGCATGATTAATAAACATTGAAAAATACACGTATCATCAGGTTGCGTTCATTTTTAATATCTGGGTATTTGACGGGCCTGTTGGTCTAGTGGTTAGTGGCCCTGACTGCGAAGCCGGAAGTCGTAGGTTCGATTCAAACCCAGGACGAATAATTGTATGATGAGTACGGTCATTTGTTCTTTATCTGGATGTAATTTACCTATTAATATATATGTATTTAGAAATATATAAGTATTAACATACTTACATATTTCTAAATACATACATATCATCAGTCTGGTTACCATAGTACAGGCTCTGCCTAGTTTGGGATCAGACGACCGTGTGTGAGATGTGTGATATTATTATTATTATTTAAATTTATAAAATTAGGTTTCGCTTTTCTTTCCTGAAGGCAATTTAACAAAAAAAAGGTAACAATGAGCAGGAGGTAAGATAAAAGAGGTCAATCAAATACTTACAGCAGCATAATCAGAACTGACAGAGTTGTGTCCAAATACATAGAAGTAGGACTGACTGTTGGCTTTCGACTGATAATCAGCGAAACGGACAACCGGAGACAATGATCGAGCATCACTAAACATGTTAAGGATGACATCACGGTTGGTTTCTACATTCCATCTTTGAGGATCTAGTTTTGAGGGAGAATATCTGAAAAGAACCGAATCTATTAAAAAAAAATTAGGTAAGGCGTTTTTGTGACATTTAATTATACATTATAATATACTAGATTTAATAATAGGATTAATTTGAAATATTAGCATAGAAAACAATAGGAATCACACTGGATCTACAAACGCTCGCATTTTTTTACCTTTAATATAATGCAACTAGTAATGTAATACATTCAAACTGTCAGCAAGGACACTTAGGATCGTAAATTTCAATTGGAAAAGTAGGAAAACTTTGCACAAATTGAAATTACAGTTTCCCGTTTGCTCACTACTCAGCGTTTACCGTGTTCACTTTTGAAACTGCTTGTTAGCGTGTAACGAAATAGAAATATCCTACGAGTATAATATACTATTAAACAGAAAAAGTTTTACTGAAAATTTCATCAGTCGATTCTATTCTTTCGTTGCCTTTCACTGAGTGAGTGAGGTTAGCGGAACCCAAATCCCCCCTTTTTTTTTCCGTGCGGAAATCCCCTCGGATACCACCTGTCGGTGGCATGTCGGACTCGAACCGACTAAAACCGCACGCCGTCTCGGGTACTAATAGCCGGGGAACCAGGTATACCCTAGAAAGGAAGTCCCTGGTGCCCCGACATACCTCGGGTCATCTACAGACGAGTAGACGACCCCCCCCGTTTGGGAACCCCACGTTCCCTGTGCTCCCTAGAGGCGAGCGCGCTTCGCAACGCGCTTGCCGCCACCCCGGCCTACCCAAATCCCCCCTCCCGCTGACTCGAGCGGGAGGGACTCTAAGGGGGGGAACGCACTTGTGACTTTTAAGTTGCAGGTGTCCAGGGGCCGCGGTAGTTGCTTACCATCAGGTGACCCGTCTGCTCGTTTGCCCCCTAATACCATAAAAAAAAACATGAATCAACATTTTAAATTTCGTTTCTCACGCGGTATTTCATTGCTTGAAAGAAATATTTCTATAGTTGCAGGCGTGCTCTTAGTCACCGAGTACTTTTAAATCCTTGACATACTCAGAAAGACACCCTGAATATGTCAAGTCCAACGTTTCAGTTCAATAAAATGCTTTTTTTCCAATCTTTTTTTTTAAAGACAACTCCCGCACTAGGAATAAATCCTGTGTCGCTGGGGACTTTACAAGCATACATTAAACGGACACAAAAGACACCCAGACTCAAAACAACAATTTGTGGATCACACAAAGTGTTGTCCCATGTGGGGATCGAACCCACAACACCCAGCGCAGTAGGAAGCGGCGAGGTGACCACTTAAACCACTACGCCATCCGTGCAGTCGAATCTGGATTCAATGTTTTAATATTTTCGTCACTGTTATATTTCCATGTACTAATATACAGCAATATGTTCAAATATGTTCAAATCTGTCTTACTCTTTCAACACTGTCTTCAGCACTTCATTTTCAGCACCTTCGAATATTATCTTAGCGTATTTTTTTATGAAGTCATCCCGTTGGTTCTCTAATACTCCATGTTCCAATTCTATGACTCCAAAATCGTGATACCGATCCAATTCTGTTACCCCGCTTAACAGTTGATACCTGAAAATAAAATTGGTACCAGAAATTTTGTCACCAGTGTTTTTAAAAAAAAATGGAAAAATAAAAATTTGAACCAACATCAGCCTGTCGCAGTCTACTGTTGGACATAGGCCTCTCCCTAAGAACTTTTAATAATAAAACAAACAAACAAACAAGTTTATTGAACCATCAAAGTTACATTTTGATAGGTGCTCTGTCTCCTAAACTAGGTTGATTAACCTGTATCCTAGGAGTCAGTGCCTTCCTTAATTAGAGGTACAATGGTTTTACAATATAAGTTATAAATTATTTATAAATCATGATAATGGAATGTACTTGTGGACATACGTATATATGTCAGCGTGTGTGTGTGTGTGTGTGTGTGTGTGTATGTGTGTTTATATGTGAGTGTGTGTGTGTATGTGTGTGTCTGTATCTTTGTGCCAGTGTGTGTGTGTGGGTGGATTTATGCGTAACCGATGTTTTTAGCTTTTAAAACAATTTATTTTCTATTTTTACAATTTATACTCCCTAATAAAACAATTTATTTATATATTTATTAGGCTTACCAACAACTACTTTTACAATTACAATTTTATTTTACATTACAAAGCTACATAATAGTATACTAGCCTTTTACAGGCAAACACAGCCTGCTCAAATTATTTACAGCTGATAAAGTGAAGTTATACAGTTACAAACACAATCAAACAGTGATTAATGCAGTAGCTATAGGCCACTTTAAACAAAAATGGTAAATTGCACATTAGGGATCCTATAAAAAAAAAATACCGTGGGAGAGCCATGCTTCGGCACGAATGGGCCGGCTCGACCGGAGTGATACCACATCAATCATCATCAACAGCCTTTACTAGTCCACTACTGAATATATGCCTCATTTCTAAGGGAGAGCCCTTAGAAATGAGGTCTGGGCCTACTACACCAGACTGGTCAGGCGGGTTGGTATAGGGTTTGTGTCAAGTTTTCCTTCTCTCTGCAGTGCTGTTGTCCTGCGTAGTTTGCTCCCTTAGTCGGCTCTTACGACACCCACGGGGTGAATAGGGGTGGTGACACTCTGTAATCTTAATCCGTCACCACACGGAAGGTGGAAGAAAGTGATACCACGGCCTCACAGAAAACCGGTGTTAAGCAATTCTTTTGTTGCCTTTCACTGAGTGAGTGAGGTTACCGGAGCCCAAATCCCCCCTCCCGCTGAATCGAGCGGGAGGAACTCCAAGGGCAGCAACGCACTTGTGACTTTTGAGTTGCAGGTTTCCATGGGCGGCGGTAGTTGCTTACCATCAGGTGACCCGTCAGCTCGTTTGCCCCCTTATACCGTAAAACAATTGATAGAACCATAAATTGGTTGATAAATGGTTACAAATACAGTATACACATTACAACACATTCATAATACTTTTGCGGAATGTGGCAAGCCACAAAGCCACTCCGCGTGTACATGTATGACCGCAGAGTAACTATTTATGGTTCTACAAAGACGAGGTATAATTCTATTAATAATATTAACCTGGTAAACTTCAATAATAATTATACATAAAATTAGAAATATTATTAATTTTTAACTATAAACTCCAATGGCAGAGGCCCATGTCCAGCAGTGGACTGCGACAGGATGATGATGAACTCTAAACTAAGAATTAGTTGGAGATAATATACGTATCACTGATACACCCAAAATAATGCAGTCATATTGAATAAAACCTTTTTTATAATTGAAGTCGGACATAGAAAAGTAAGATGGCTAGAAATTAGAGGAAAAAGCCAGTTGGTTATTACACCTCACGGTCGCATACCTGTAATTCCAACTGGCTTTTCAAATTATCGCTTACTAGGTTTTGGTCGGGCTATTTGTCGGTTATCGTAATAAAAAGGTTTCTCTTGGTGAAAGAATTTTTGAAATTGGTTTAGTGGTTTATGTGCGAAATCGTAACAAACAAAAACACTTTCACATCTATACAAATAAATAAATTTGAAGTGTCTGTTTGTAATGTCAAAATGATAGGTTTTTTTTATGCTCACACGGTGATTTGCACGATATCTAGCCTAAATCCAGTTTAAAAAACCAGACCAGCCTCTCAGAAAAACCTTATATGTTTCGAGTCCGACTCGTATTTGTCCAGTTTTTATATACATAATATATTATATGTAAATTGTTTTATAACTTGGTGCAAACAATGAAGTCTTCAGTAGATATTCTAGCTTTAACTTAATACAATCCATGCTACAATAATATTTATGTACATACATAAACTATTTGACGTTCATGATACAATTTTTGTCAAAATAGTTTCTCAACAAATATTACGAAGCAACTTATATATTGCAGATTATATAGAACTATGAGAGTCATAACGAGCGACATACAAACAATGACTAACAAAACTATGGCCATCAATATCTGCCGAATATAATGGAGAGATAAATTCCTCTGTACCACGCCTCTTAGCTGTATGTAACAAATAGGTTTTACGAATATTAGATAGGAACTCCGAGTGTGTAAAAGGATATTTGTTGAAAAATATTTTTGTTTTTTGACCTTTGTAGATTTTTTTTAACAACATGAATTGGAAAATCTTTAAGTTATTAATCTTTAATAGATCTTAGGACTCCTTGCTAACATATAAGATATATTTTTTACACCATAAATGCATACTTTCATGAGTGAATGACAGTATGAATGACAGAAAAGCGACAGATGAAAAGAACGTTTGACTTATGAATGAAAATATTTGACCTTTGGTGATTAATTAAGGTTATTCCATATTTCGTAAAAAGTATAAATAAAATATCAAAAATTACTAGAAAAGACATGACGATATTCTATCAATAATATGTTGGTAGAAGATTTTAGTTTATCAAGAACACGCCCAGATTACACACATTTCAAACATGATAAAGTAACGCAAAGGCTATTAAAAAATGTGAAATTGAGTTTATGTGTTTCTGTGTTACGTTTTCGTCTAAAGCACTAAACTGATTAAAAAAAAAACACTAATGGAAAGCTCCATTATCAGCTACTTAATAGGCTATTTTCACCGCAATAACCTACATATACGCAGGCGGAGCCGCGGGCAAGAGCTGGTATCGGCTGGTAAATATATAATTTAAGAATACATTACACACACATATACATCATATTACACATGACATCAACAGCCTTTAATAGTCGACTGCTGGACATAAGCCTTTCCTTAGAAAGGAGGTTTTGGCTACTATAAAACGCTGGTCAGCCGGTTTGGTATAGGGTTTGTGTCAAGTTTCCTTCTCTCTGCAGTGCTGTTGTTCTGCGTAGTTTTCTCCCTTAGTCGTCTCTTACGACACCCACGCGATGAATAGGGCTGGTTACAATCTGTATTCTTAATCCATCACCGTACTTGTTATCATTATTATTATCAAAGAATTAATATCATCATTCAAAGCGAAATATGATTTTCCTTTAGAATAATTTGTATCTAAATTCAATTTATCAAGAGGATTACAGGTGAAACAGTACTTAAAATCGTCGGATCAATTACCTCTAGGAGTCTTCAGCCAGGGGATAATACATAATTGATTTTTATTTATTATCCCTGGCTCGGGATCAGAGATGGCTGTAACAATTAACGATAAAGGATTTGGTAACTTTTGCTGATAAAATTTACATTAAGCTTTTATTATGATTCATTTTTTCTGTATCTGAGTCCGTGTCGTGAAGGATTAATAAGACGGAATGAACCCCTATTCATCCCGTGTCGTAAGAGCCGACTAAGGGAGCAAACTACGCAGGACAACAGCACTGCAAAGAGAAGGAAAACTAAATAAACCGTATATCAACCCGTCTGGCCAGCGTGGTATGGTAGGCCAAAACCTCTTTTCTAAGGAGAGGCCAATGTCCAGCAGTAGACTGATATAGGCTGTTGATGTGATGTGATGTAAATATTTTTTTAGATTGATGGATTATTCGAAGTATAAAAATAGAAATTATTGCAATCGGCTTGATTCAAATTGTGATAGAATTTGCTCTATTAAATTAGTATGATCACCGTTCAAATATCAATATAATTAAAACACGATACGTTCAAAACAAACAAACCTACTCTCTAGCTAGCAGTATTAAACAAAAATAGCACACGGAAGCACATTTCTAATACTTAATGTTTGTACGTAGAAGTTTAGAAAGTTATAACTTTTAAATAATTTAATAATATGCTAGAGAAATGATGTAAAAATGGCTACATAAAGCTGGAAGGGTCAAAATAATATATTTCCAGATATTCTTGATGATACAAAATGACAATGGCAGTTTAAATTATACTGGTCACGCAACAAAAGAAGATATTTAAAACTCTGCCAGTTTTAAACATCAAAAAAATACAGCATAAAAAAAAATGATAAAAAAAATTGTGTTGTGTAATCTACTTAAATGTCATTTAATATCGCTCTACTGATACAACGCATAAGGAATTTCATTAATCTTGATTTCAACATTAACGTCTTGATTCAACGTCTGCGGTGCACGTTATTATTATGCTATATTATGCAAACATTCCAACATTCCTGAACAATGATTTACTAGAAATGCGCCCAATTCAATACCTACCAAGGTGAAGCAGATTTGTATTAAACGTCCATATTTTGTCAATTATAATTTTTGTCTAGCTTATGTAATTGCCGTCAAGACTTCGCCAACAGGACACTTTAAGGAATAAATAAAGAAAAAGGAGGATATCAAGAAGAAAAAAGAAAGGACAGCAATTTGGACAAAAATATTGTTTATACAAATATATTGAGCAATGTTAGTAAGTTGGCACCCTAATAGTCATTGGCACTCTTCATCAATCATCAAAAACAGCCTTTAACAGTCCACTGCTGGACATAGGACCCTCCTTGAAAATGAAGTTTTGGCCTACTATACCACGCTGGCCAGACGGGTTGGTATAGGGTTTGTGTCAAATTTTTTATTTTATTTATTTTGCTTAATATTTGACAAAACAGTTTGACCTCTAAAGTCATACTTTAGAGTCTACATAAAAGACGATTTCAAACAATTCAAAAACAAAAATATGAGAGAAAGATATTTTGAGTTTGAGTTTATCTGTTTTCGGTCCGGGTTCTCTAACTTTATTTCTATTCATATTTATTCCTGTTTACAAGAACCAGTATCAATAACCAGATAAATTACTTGTCTCTTCATAATATCCACAAAATACACTTGCAAAGACATACTCACTTGCTTAAAAGGTTAGGGTATGATTCCATAGTCTTAGCTGGTTCATTAGGTATAAACGATCCAGCGACTACCGGTCCCAATGGTGTCTCGAATTCTCTCGCCAGAATCTGCACCTTCTTTATCTCGGATAACCTGTTAACAAAATTTTACACTAATATAAGTGTTGGAAATTTGAACGACATAAACTTGAAAATTTAGACTAGTTTGATGTACCAGCTAACATTTTTGCTGCTGGATCCGGGGTTTCGTTTAGATTTTAGGCTCGAATGTATAATTTTTCATTGGTCTAGATATTTATTTGTATGAATAAAATCAAGTTACGCAGGTATCTTTATATCAAGAAATCTTCTTTGAATTTGTTCTCTTCATTGAGCAGAAATATGTTTTATTAAAATTTCGCTTGATAGAGAAGAATCAATAATATTATCATCCTAGTGAATGTTTTCTGCGGATAAATAATGCTGAATTCTAAGAAACAAGTAATTAAAATATATTACGAATTCTAAAGGTAAACTTTATTATATAAAGCCTTTTGTTGGTTTCAAAGCAGCTTTGAAAACACTTTCACTATTTTATTATTAAGGATAGAACAATATAACGAAGGAAACAAAATTACTAATATATTACTAATTAGTAACGGTTTATTAGTGTTTTAGGTGTGTATGAATTAATTATATTTTTGGCGTCAGGACAATTTTTACCAATGCAAAACGCGGTTCGGTCCGATCGAACCCATGATTTTTAAATTCGCGGGCACCAGTTAGTTTAATATCAAGAGAGAGCCACCCGGCACCCGACCTGCACCGCCTCGCCTCGAGCGGTCAGTATTCTTTGTATAAAGTACAATGGGGAAACGCTCACTATATCAACTCCTTGCCCGGAGCGCCTCGCCCGCGGGTTGACCACGCGCGGACGGCTAGTGGACCACTAGGTGATGGGGCCCTGTCCACGAGCGGTTTACGCGCGAGGACTATTCATCGGCGACACACTGTTCTCCCTCGAACGTGTCTGTCGTATGGATTTCTGGTTAACAAAGTGGCGTCCACCCGTAGACCACGGATGGACACCGAGTCGAGGTGGTGCTAATCGGGTGGGTGTAATGAGCTATGATTTTTAAGGTATAATTTAAATTTTAAAATTTCGATAGGTGGTTCCTAATTAGAGGTTACCCTTGCTTTTATATGTGAGTTTTCTATAAGTATATGCAGTAGTAGGTTTGTCTAAATCTCGAGTCTCTCTTTGTTTAATCACATACACCTTTATGTTTATTTACTTTTAAGATACCTATAAACGCTTAAGTCATTTCAAGCGGGTTCTAGTGTAGAAGCTTAAACGTTCATTTGATTGTAGCTTCAGGTGAGCACTAAAATTCCGTTGATAACATTTTCGTACAGAATGCGTCAGTAATATTCTTTAATAAAGTTCAAATCTATTCTCATTCTAGAGATTTAGGTGTTTTCAAGTATTATAATATTTTAATAGTTTTGAAGAATTTTTTATTATGGGTAACTGCAGATATTACAAAAAAGTTTTGGATAGCTTTTAATAAAAGGATCCAAGATAGGTATCGATGATTCAGATAGATCCATAAAGATAACTATGCCGTCAGCTGGTTCACACATGTGTTGTGATCATCATTAACAGCTTTTAAAAGTCCAATGTTAGGATAGAACCCACAACATTCAGCGCAGTACGAAGCGATGACGTAGCGACCGCTTAAACCATCCGTGTGGTCAAAATATAAACGTGCTAAGGCATACTTACGGTTTTCTCTGCAAACATGACATCATATTCTTAGAATTCGGACTGCAACCAAGACTTTGCGCTACTTGTAACGTGTAAGGTGTCGGATCTTTTGTCATCGCCCAGTCTGAGAGCGCCGAACCTGACATGAGTATTGCGCGATGAAATAAACCTGAAAAATGTACTATATTAAACTTTTCTTAACGAATAAAGTATCGCGGGACAAGGATTGGCCTGCCAGGATAGTGTGGTTCAATTTTCACAAGAATAGGCCTGTTGTTGAATAGACAAGAATGGGCCAAATGGAAATTAAACCCTTGAACTTGAACCACCCAAAACAAATATTGTGTGACAGGCAATATCATTTTTCTGTATTAAGAGTAGTTGCTCTTTCTCTTTTCTCTTTTATAAAGATAACTCCCGCACTAGGAATACATCCTATGTCGCGGGGAACTTTGCAAACAAACATGAAACGGACACAAACTCAGAACAGTGTCGTCCCATGTGGGCACTCAGCGTAGTAGGAAGCAGCGTAGCGACCGCTGAAACCACTACGCCATCCGTACAGTCATCTATAATATGTATGTAGGTATGATTATGTAGAAATATAGGCATGTGCCCAGTAGACGACAATAGGTTTGCCCCCTGTAACATTAGTAGGACTAAATTTCATCATCAGCAATAGACCACTGCTGGACAGGAGCCTCTCCTTAGAAAGAGATTAGATTGTGGCCTACTATACAAATGGGCTGGTATGGGGCTCGTTTCAAGTTTTCCTTCTCCTTCATCGGCTCTTACGACAGCTACGGAATGAATTAAAGTTATAGTCGACAAAATCTACCTACCTACCATCTACTTACATGTTAACATACCTGCACATTCTAGAAATGACTCTATCTCTGTACCGTACAACATATTTACCATTAGATATTGGTGACAGCATTAAAAAATTAATGCAGGCAGCTCCAGTGCCATGTCCCATCAGGGTTACTGATGTTGGATCTCCATTCATATCCTCAATATTGTCTTTGATCCACTGAAGTGCTGCCAGTTGATCTAGAAGTCCGTTATTACCGTAAACGTGTTCTGTTAAACTTGGTTTCATAAAACCTGTAATATCAAATACTATTAAATTAAAGTACTATTTAATTATTCTCAAATAAAAAATAATATTAAAATTTATAGGTGTTTCTTGGGTTAACCGCTCTCGGTACTCCTCTGTTTATTGGAGGAGACTGGACAAGCGAAGGGATTGTGGGCAAAGGCCGAGGTGGGATCTGTATGGAATCATGGACATTAAACAGACCCCGCAGTACAAAGGCGGAGGTAATGAGCTCCATTCGTCGGGCCCTTCAGACTCCGTGGCAGCGTTCCGCCCCAGGGTGACTGGGATGTGCCTCAGACATGGGGTACGGCAGGGAGGACTTCAGAGGCCGCCGATGCGTTCCTGGAACTCCTCCCGACTACCGAGGTAGACCGCCGCGGGGTTTAGTGGGTAGACTGGTGCTCCGGGAGTCCCACAAACAGTCCCCTTTCGTTAAGTCTTATTCAAATTGGAAAAAAAAAATCTATTACTCACCATGTCATCATCATCATCATCTCAGCCAAAAAACTTTCAGTGCTAGTCATAGCCCTCATCAAGACTCTTTACAACAACCGGTCTTCTGCTACCATCACCATGTAAGAGCGTTGAAATGGATAATACATTTTTAAAATAAAATTTACTACAAACGAACTCCATTTAATGACTTAACATACCTAATACTCACCCAATATCCCAAGCCTGAAGTTGACAGTGATCACCATGACATTCCCATAAGACGTCAGCATTCTACCATCATACGGATTGCCAGAACTCCACTCAAAGGAGTCCCCGTGGATGAAGACGAGCACAGGAAATTTTCGCGTCTTCTGTTCTGAAAGTAATTTTTATTATAAAGTATAATAAATAACAGCAACTATTTTCAGAATTATGGCAGATCTAAGGCTATTAAAGCTTATATTTATACGTCATCGTCATCATCATCATCAACAGCCTTTAACAGTCCACTGCTGGACATAGGCCTCTCCTTAGAAAGGAGGTTTTGGCCTACTATACCAAGCTGGCCTGACGGGTTGGTATAGGGTTTGTGTCAAGTTTTCCTTCTCTCTGCAGTGCTATTGTTCTGCGTAGTTTGCTCCCTTAGTCGGCTCTTACGACACCCACGGGATGAATAGGGTTGGTAACACTCTGTATTCTTAATCCGTCACCATACGTTTATTATATATACATATATTTTTATTTATACGTATTATATAGGAATAGGATTTAGTTGTACCTATATAATCCTATCCTACCTATATAATAAGTAATCTCTTTTTTTCTAGAAAGGAAATGGAGACAAAATCTTTAGTACATCTGAATTTCACTTTGGGAATTTCAGTATGTGAGGGTGTTAAGGCTTATATTTTGATTAATTTTAGTTTATTTTGATAGAATATATAAATATTATATATTATTACATTATTTATTATATCCGAGGTTATTAAAACTTATGTTTATACGTGTCTGTACTAATTATAAAGCTGAAGATTTTGTTTGTTTTATTTAAAGCGCTTATCTCAGGAACTATCGGTTCGAAAAATTATTTTAAAGTTGGATAGCCTACTTATGGAGATAGGCTATTTAACATCACGCTACGGTCGATAACGACCGGCAAGGCATCAACGAAAAATGAAATCTTTAATCCTAAAATTTTAATAATAATAAAAAATTAATCCTTTTGAGAGACGCAGACGACTGCACGGATGGTGTATTGGTCTAAGCGGCCGCCACTTCCAGCTACGGTCAGTGTTGTGGGTTCGATCCCCACATGAGATGACACTTTATGTGATCCACAAATTATTGTTCTAAGTCTGGGTATTCTTTGTGACCATTTCATGTATGTTTCAGGATATATTACTAATGCGGGAGTTGTATTTTTATAAAGAAACAAAGAAAAGCTGTACGCGTCAGCTAGTTTGTACCTATAAGACTTAGATGAGACTTTTATTTGTTTTGATATTAGGTAATATCTACTCCTAGAAAGGAAAATTACGTCAAAAACTTCTGTAAAGTGTATTTTAGTTTAAATTTGAGAATTTCAACCTTATATTAGGTTGTTAAAGCTTATATTTGGCTGAAATCAATTTCATCGGTTAAATGTAATTATTGGAAAGTTCAGATAAACATTTGCCACAAATGTATCGCTACCATTCTATTTTCAAACTAATGTTTTAAGGTAAAAGTTAAGGTATTCCTGGAGTTATATTTATTAGAAAGGGTAGAAACCCTTTGTATTTGTAAATAACTCGTTTCTTACCTAAAACATTCGTAAATTATTATTGTTTCAAAACCATTCTGCGTTATTAGTTTCAATTGCTGTAGTAGGTAATAAATAATTCATTAAAATCACAGTTCTTGACCAGGGTCTGAATTCTGCTATTTTAATATTGTATCAATAGACTGTCGATGGAATGTCGTCGGATATTCGAATAGTTTTGCACTTTTTCTATTCCACTAAACTCTAACTCAAACTCAAAGTCTCTTTATTTCATAAAACTTTCAAAATTGTTTGAAATCGTCTGTTATGTAGACTCTAAATTCATAGATCAACATACACAAAAGCAACAATCTCTGTTTTGTCAAATAGTAAGCAAATAAATTTAACAAATATCAAACCCATACAAAATCTATGATATGCCTGTGCCGATCTACAACCGCCCGTTTCCAAGGGGTCGAGCCTTATGAGAAGAAAGGACAAACAAACTCATAGCCACTCTTTTGCAATTCACAGATAGATACAATGGCACTATTAAATATACTGCAACATTGTTTTGATGTGTGCTAGTATGTCCGTTATTAAGAACTAAAAGGTAAAAAGACAATGAAGAGAATTAAAAAACAAAATTAAGAAACAAACATAACACAACAAAATTGAAAAACAAGATTAAGAAACCAAAACGAATACAAGAGAAAATGAAGTGAAACATAAAAAATAGAAAAAATTATAATAATAAAAAACACACTACCCACATCACATTTTTACTTAAGAAAGAAATAGCCTGCGCTAATTAATCCCAAGCATTCTTGTCCTCCATGTAATCCGCAATCGAGTAGTAGGCCCTCTGGCACAAGCCACGTATTATTGCGGATTTAAATTTGTTAATACTTACTTAATATTATTTGGGATTTTATAATAAAATCGGACACATTGACCTCGAAAAGACTTGTTTATCTTTTGGAGCCTAGAGGCAGGTACTGCAAGTTTATTTTTATTTCTGGTATTTATGGCATGAACCTACATCACTTTTTTTCAAAAAGCTATCTTTGTTTTTATGAACATATATTACATTTTCATAAATATATTGACCTGCCTATACTATATACTAACTATGTAAGACCAATGGCTTGTCCTATGACTTGTCACTGATACAAATGTCGTCGATGTTTTTGTAACAGTTTGGTAAACGGTGCATTTTAAATTTGTAAGAAAATGATACATTTAATTTTCCAGGTATGGCAATGTTGTTGATATCACCATTGATGACCTAAATTATCGACAGTCTATTGACACTGTGAATTGATGATAGTAGAATACTGATATTTCGACCGATGTCAATGGTGTCTCAATGGCATCTCAATAGCGTGTCAATGGAATGACAGTGGCTTGGCGTTAACATAAAATAGTAGAATTGAGGCCCAGGTATTGCGTTTACCGTGAGAACATGAAGTGTGAACCTTAATAGTTAACTTTTAAATAAAGATTCCGACGAATTGTGAACGTCCTCCTTTTATGAAGTCGGTTATAAAGTATCTTCGACTTTAATGTGGCCTCTTCATGGTGAACTGTAGGTAATCAACTGAATACTTTATTCCATTCCATATTAGGTACTTTTCCACTCTTTTCTTCAAATTTAAAATGGGACCAAACGGGGAAATAAAGATCAGTGTATAAGTGTCGATGTTCTGCGTTTTCCATTCGATTGTATATTCATATGTTTGCAACATAAAAAATACAATCGAAAGCAAAACCTCCTTCTTTTTTAAATCGGTTAAAACATTAAACTCCTTTTTTTGGCAGCCTTGTTAAAAAGTTTATTGAATTGTCGTGTAAATTGAAAAAAAAATCGATCATAATATATCCATAAAACTTACTTTTATAGTGTTACATTCGTTTTTTTAAATAAACGGTTTAAAGCTGTAATGGTTAATTAAACTAAAAGTTTAAAACGATATATTATTATCTTATTATTTAAACTGAAAGCACGTTAGCACTCTTAAACTTAACTAATATTAGTAACTTACATTTTTACGAAAATGACTATAAATTGGTGATTAGCGCCATCTCGTAGCAGGCCTTTGAACTACTTACATAACTGAAAGCTGGAACGTGTAAACTGATCAAACTGGTTTGGTGGCGGACAACGTCAAGTCAGTAGTGTTACCGTATCTCAAAAGATGGCAGTACCATAAAAATTATTAAGTATTTAGACAATATTTTTTGTAAATAAGTAATTGTTTATAAAGACTTTATAACATGGTTAATTTAAAAAAAAAAACTTATTTTTGTAAATTAACCATAGCAGATTAGCAAACAAACGTTACTTAAACGCTACAGCGTACATACATTTTTAAGAGAGTTGAGCAACATACAGTTGAGCAGTTGATCTCAAGAGAGCTTATCAAATATAATATTAATTATTTACTAGTCAGCTACAGACTACCAAGCTTCGATGTGGCACATTGTGTTTGCGTTGATGAGAAATGAAAACAATACTGATGCGAAAAAGAGTTTTAAAAAAAACACGCTTCGAAATTTAAGTTTAATCGGTTCGGACAGCGTTACGAAAAGTGTGATTGGGCGAGGCGAACGAAAGTTGAGTTATAAGTTAGTGAAGATAGAAAGAGAGAGAGTTACGTTTCGTATATTACTATAGGGGCAAGAGAGAGGTGCGAGCACACATTTTCTTTCTCTCTTTCTCTCATAGCCAAAGAGGTTTACTTCAGTCTTTCTCAGTCTCAGTCTCAGTTTTTTAAGTTTTTGAAGCGTACACCAACCAACCTAACATTTTTCAATATAAAGCTAACGCGAACACAATTCTCAGTCATAAAAATTCGCAGACAATAGAAAGGAAAATTCTGAAAACTTACTTAATGTCTCATAGAAAAAGTAAATTTTCAGCTAATGATGACGTTAAAGGAGTCTCAACCTTAAAAGTATAAAATATAGTGTTCTGTTAAATATGAACCAATGATATTTATAACAGTATCTACCGAGCAAATAGGTCTCCTGATGGTAAGCGAATACCGCCGCCTATGGACACACAACTCAAGAATCACGAGTGCATTGAAGCCCTTTAAAGGCTTGAAGGTCGTAAATCCTATGTCAATTGCTCTCTTTCATAGTTTTTAAATTAGCCATTTACATATAACGGGTATAAGGGACATCGTAACGAGTACTGAATTACGAGTAGTGTGTATTCAGACCATCATTCTCAGTCTAAAATCAGTGGAATTTTCTGCAGGAAACTTAAACTTTTTATGCAATCAGCTGTCAAAGGTAAAGGTCATTTCCCGTAGGTATCGCACAAAAGTAATAACTACACGTGTATTCCGCACACCAACGCAAGTTGGCGGCCGGAGGGAAGGCCCCGCGCGCTTCACGCTACACATTAAACAATATCCTTAGTCGGCAATATTATCAGGGTTCAAAGAAATATACCTATAATTTCGATATGCGTAAAAACAGTTTGTAACACCGCGTGTAACTATCTCACCGGTTATGAGTTATTTGACTTTGTTGCAAGATTTAACTAAGTTCAGACAGGTCTCTACAAAAAAAAATATCCGATGAAAGTACATACCTATATGCTGTTAAGTAGTAATGTATCACCTAAGTATGTATGTTTCAAAAATCATTGTCAGATTCTTACTGTTCATTTGTTTTCAGCCTTTAGGTAATGCATAACATATATCAGAGATATTCTTAGAGTGAACATTTGATATCATTCTAATTACGACTTGTCATTAACTTCCTACTGTGTGGATTACCACTAACATCTTTCAGTGTTTGTGAAAAAAACTCAAAAATAACAAAACCGATAGTTACTTTTACAGAAAACCTAGAAGGTAATGAGGGCTTTCCACAATCCGCTCTAATACTCATGTGCGTCCACCGTTGTTTTACGCGAGCATTTTGTTCATTAACCTACCTAATTTTAACACAAATTTCAAAACATGCATAATTGCTATAGAACGGTTATATTTGTCGAAGGTATTGCATATCAGCCGTGGTCACTTTTGTGCAATCTGGTTGAATCTCAAGCAATTTAAATATGCACAGCAGAGATGGGAAAATAATATAGGTGAATTAGCTTTTTCCAGCGACTTCGTCCGCGTACTGGACGATATCAGACATCGTAGAGACATAATAATCACCAAACCTCAATTCTACACCCTTTGGAGTGGAATTAAAAAAAAAATCCTTTCTTAGTGTACACCTACGTCACCTAAGGAACATTTTTGCAAAATTTCACGCTTCTTGACCCAGCGGTTAATGCGGAGCTGTGCGTTGATGAACCAGTCAGTGAATCAGTCTTCTTCTATAGATATAGATAGAAAATCCAACTCCATTCCTATTTTTGATTAATGTTTTTGAGACTTCACACATATTTACACAACACAAACAATAGCCACAAAGAACACCCACATTCAGGAGAATAATCTGTGGATCATCAACAAAACCATTATTAATGAGTATGTTTCTAGTACGTTCTGTCAGATACAGTGCTCAGTATGATATGCAGGAACTTATTGACGGTAGGTGATTATAAAAGAGAATTTTATATCGTAACAGAAATCAAATATGATTGAACGATAATAGAACTAGTCTCCAGAATTGGTGCAATTTGGAATAAATGCTATCGTAACGCAATTAAGTTACAAATCACAACAATAGGTATCTATAGAAAACGCGAAAGCTTGAAAATAATTCCAGCAAACAATTTCACCCTAAATAATTATTATTTTAAAATTTGACTAAACAATCAGAAACTACAAACGATTACGTAGCTATTATCCTTTGTGCTAAGCTCACTAAACACCAATGTTCTTGTTAATTAAGTGACAAATAAATGAGCGCATGAAACAACCGTTTCCTCAAATTCCGTGCAAAATGGTATACACCTATCCCAGTCTGAGTATTTGAGTGAAAAGGGATGGTGGTATTTTTACGAACGCTACGTAAATCACCGTCCCTTTTGTTGAAACCAAAGCGAGATTTTCTTTGACGAGTCAGCATTACGCCTTCAGGGTTTTGGTTTTAATGACTTAAGTATTCTAAGGTAAATTGGATTGAAGCACTCGTAATAGTTATATACGCACTGTTCATTTAGCGAAATGCTTAAAGCCTGGTCAATGATGTGTACTTATAGTGTAAAATTTTAATCTTTTATTCACCACAAGAAATGTAAATGTCTGTCATTTTGTAATGTACGTGACCACCTTATTAAATATCATAACGATGCTTTCTCCAGCTTAAATATTTGAAGGTACAAGACTCACGTGACTTGACGTCTAAATGTGCTTTGTGCTAGAGAATTACGAAATCGATTTAGTTTGAATTTTTTTTCGATCAACTTATTCATTTATTGATTCTAACTTGTTTTTTTTTGAGATCCAAAGCTAATATAACCTTTACGGCAAATTGTATTCAAGTTTTATCAGCGTTTTAAAAATCCTAACCGCGACCGCATAATATAACAACTCATAGGATTTTTATGAGGTGAGGTAGCCTTGCAGGTGCCTATTAAGGTATGGACAGAATACAAGCAAATGGCATTCTTTGCACTGGTATCCATACTGAATCCAAGACCATTTTTACTTTAAGTATTATTATTCAAGTACTGTTATTGATTTTAAGTATGATAGTGACTACAAGGGCAGCAACGCACTTGTGACTTTTGAGTTGCAGGTGTCCAAGAGCGGCGGTAGTTGCTTACCATCATATCCATCTGCTCGTTTGCCCCCTTACACCATAAAAAAATCTATTTCATTCAATCAGTCAGTATGGTTGACCACCATCTCGTAATCTTTTTCTTACTTATACAAAGAAATTAAATACTGAATTGGCAAACTGCTCAGTTTTGCGATTCGACATCAGGATATTTGCAGTACCTATTACGGATCACAAACCAACTGACACCGATTTATCAGCCACCCACCTTATTACAGAGTACTATGGAAAGTGACGTCTCTCTTAGAAACCAATGAACATTTCAGGAGAATCCCCACGTGTTTCTAGAAGAAGCAAGTCTGGTAAAACTAGTCAGCCTTATCTGAACGTGTAATGGACCATCTACGAGACTAAATGCGGCGACAGAGCACATTACTTTTACTAAGGTCCAAATCCTGACACGTTTATCGTTTTCAATATCACTTTGTTGTCTGTCTGCTTATCTGTCAGGCTGTCAAGACCCTTTTACCAGGGAACGTTTTGAGACAATAAGTTGATACTTTCATGAAACACTTATGTCTGTATTCATGTTTTAAAAATACAGGCTTATAATCTTCAGAATTGAATCCTGAAAAGAAAGAACTACCTACGCAAACTATCTACTGCGAAGGCGAATTGGATTCGCACTTGTATAGTTTTATTCAGAAACCACTTTTGCTGCAGGTTGAACTCGAATTTAATAGTTTGTTTATCTCAATCAATCAATTAACAGCCTTTAATAGTCCACTGCTGGACATAGGCCTCTGATTAGAAAGGAGGTTTTAGCCTAATATACCACGCTGGCCAGACGGGTTGGTATAGGATTTGTTTCAAGTTTTCCTTCTCGTTACAGTGCTGTTGCCTTGTAGTTCACTCCCTTAGTCGGCTCTTACGACACCCACGGGATGCATAGGGGTGGTGACATTCCGTATTCTTAATCCGTCCCCACACGGATGTGTTTATCTATTTAATAATATTTCTGCCATGTTTTTATTAAACAGCTTAGATTATAAAATAACACCTCATAATAAACCAAGTCATCATATTTTCCAGCCTAATGTATGTGGCTTTTTATTAAAAGTATGCTATTTATTGACGAATTTAATACTAACGCGTAGGTGGCTCTTGACCTATTTTTATTTTTAATTTCTTTATATTCTAATAAAGAACATAAGTATTTTTGCGTGGGGTAAGTATAATATTATAATTATTTACGTTTGAAGTAAAACAAGGATAATAAATAAATTCATTTTATTTCCAACGTAACGTACTTTGAATAAAATTTTATATGGATGTTATTAAAGGTATTAAGACATACGGGATTCCTTTTGTTCGTATAATGTTTTTATTCCTGATACACTTTGCCATAACTGGATTAGCATACTTTTTTGGTATGATAATCCTTTGGCATAATTTGTTTTTGGCATACAGCTTATGTTGACATAATTTTATTATCTTCTAGTCTAATTTATTTTGACATAATTTTCATTCGCATAATGTTACTATACCAACCCGTCTGGCCAGCGTGGTATGGTAGGCCAAAACCTCCTTTCTAAGGAGAGGCCTATGTCCAACAGTGGACTATTAAAGGCTGATGATGATGATAATGATAATGTTACTAGACATATAATAATTTTTGGATGTAAAAATCAATAGAAATAAGAGAATGTGTAACAATAGGTTAAGGTGCGATGCTGGTAGCCCTTGGGTCACCCCTAAGCCGCCAATATGTTTTACATACATATAAAAAATTCACATTTAAAAATGAGTCCTAGTGTCTAACATTTAAGGACTTCATTATTATACGCATCTCTTATGTCTATAAAAATTATGTTAATATCATTATGCGTAAATAATGTGCCGTGAGTTGTTTTGTCCTTTCTTCTCATAGGGCTCAATCACTTGGAAACTGGCGGTTGAAGATCGGCACAGGAATATAGTGAATATATATTTATTTTGCTAAATATTTGACAAAACAGAGTTTGTTGCTATTGTGTGTGTTGATCTATGACTTCAGAGTCTACATAAGAGACGATTTCAAACAATTTAAATATATGTTTATGAAATAAAGATATTTAGAGTTTCAGTTTGAGTGTGCGTAAATATAATAAGATAAAAAAAAAATGCTGTGATGGATTTCTTAAAATTCAATGCGAATGGAATGCGTTTTATTCTTACAGAGGTAAATAACTGCGCCGGTGGCGCAGTGGTAGTTTATGCGACTGCTATACTGAGGTCTCGGGTTTGATTCCCGGGTCGGATCAAATGTCTGTATGATCTGCGAATATTTGTTTCGAAATTGAAGTTTTCTATGTATAATATGTATGTATTAACAAAAAAAAAGTATTTAAGTATTCTATCAGGCAATCTAGCTTTCATAGCACAAAAAGAGTAGTAGAAACTAGATGGCGTTGTATCAGATGTTCGAAATATCGAAAGGCATACATAACCATTAAACACGTCTGTACCATTATCGCGACGACATTCATATTATACACTATACAGAAATATAATACAACTCCATCTAGTCAAGACAAGCTGAACTAAGTAGTAATTACTAATCCTGCATTGCGCACTCCATGTTTTAGAGTTGTTTAATGTACGAAATAGGTTCCAACATACATTTTTAATCTACACTGTGGAATAATCCTCTGGTCTAATCCGAGGATCCGCCTCCTACGTTCAAACGACATAATGCCTATTCCCCCAGAGCATAATAGCCATATTACTAACTAGCTCTACCCTGCCACGCTTTGCTTTAGCACATTTTGGTTGCATTAATGAGAAATGAAGAAGAAACGACGGGCCTGTTGGTCTAGTGGTTAGTGGCCCTGACTGCTAAGCCGGGAGGTCGTGGGTTCGATTCCCACCCAGGACAAATATTGTGTGATGAGCACGGTCATTTGTTCTGTGTCTGGGTGTAATTTATCTATAATATGTATGTATTTAAAACTATATAAGTATGTTTATCAGCAGTCTGGTTACCATAGCACAGGCTCTGCCTAGTTTGGGATCAGACGGCCGTGTGTGAGATGTGTGAGGTTATAAAAAAGAAAAAAAAAAAAAAAAAAAAAAAAACGGACGCACAAAAATAAATAAAAACAATCTTTGAAGCGAGTTTTATATCGTGGCAAAATTTGAACTCAATGGATGCAGAACTTTTTGAGTTTGAGACTGCACGGAAGGCGTAGTGGTTTAAGCGGTCACCACGCCACGGCCCAGTGGACAAGAAAGCAAATATGGCATGGTT